TCTCTGGCAAAAAGAATGGAAAGATCAACAAGATTATGAGCCAGTCAAACATCCAAATCATTTTCGACACTTTCAATGAGTACAATTTCTTTATTGACGTTTGTGGTGGAAAGTTTGACACTACCATGTTGGGTTTAAAGCTGGTTGAACAGGAGCTACCAGCAGCTGTCTCCTTCCATGTTCCAGACTCTTATCATAAGCGGATTATTGGGATCGGTGGGCAGCATATCCAGAGGATAATGAAAAAGTACTCTGTATTTGTCAAGTTCTCTAATGCTATGGAGAGGGGGGCAAGTGGAAGGTCGGAGTCCGATGGTACAAAGGTGGACAATGTCATCTGCAGAACGCCGGCTAGGAATGCGGCCAATCTTGAGCTGGTTAAGTCGGAAATTATGGGCATGGTGCAGCGCGCGGATGCAGATATCGTGCAAGAGCATGTTGACATTCCGAGGCTGCTGCATCGTACTTTGATGGCGAAGCGCAAGGTCCTAGACGATTTGGAGGGCAAGTGGGGATGTACAATCATATTTCCGAGTACAGAAATGGCAAGCGATATCGTGACCATCAAGGGGCCTCAATGGCAAGTTCCTCATGCGGTTCATGAGTTCTTGGTAAGTACTCTCGTGACGAGTCAATCATCGGGACTCACTGACGATCTTTGCAGGCTCTTGTTCCGGAAACACATATAATCCGCTTAAAAAATTCCCCGGAGCTTGAAGAACTTTTGAAGCAAGATGAGTTCAAAAAGAACATCACCGATCGAATGAACACACAATTCGGGATTAGGCTTCACCCAACGGTCGACAATGCTACCGAGTCGCCTGGCGGTAGGAGGTCCGGCGATGGAGAGGATTATATGGAAATCACTTTCACTTACACCCGCAACAATGCTGGAGCCCTCCGAGATGCTATCGAAATGTTGACAAACTTTCTTCTTTCCCACGGAATCCAAACAGACTCGATTAAGGGTGCTCTCCCTCGACCAAAGTCCGACTCATTTGAAGATTTTGTGCCATTTTTCCATTCAGCCGTGTTTCAAAAACCATCACAATCCAGGGTCGGGAGCTCCAACGGGTCGATAAGAAGGCTTTCTGGAGACGCGGGATCAATATTCGGCGATCAAGTTTTGCATACCGAACCGGCTCAATTCACCGATACCACCGAAGCCGCATTTTACGACGGGGATAGGAAAGCCTCGTTATCGGATGCAGGGCTTGTGAGGCCACCAGGGAGTTCTGGTTCCATAAGCTCTACAAGGACCAGCTTCAGTCTCGGGAGGAAGGGCTCTACTGTTTGGGAGGGGGGGTTAGAGGCCACCGGGCTACCTGATGGGGAGGAATGGACAAAACTGGAGAGTGACAGGTCCAGGTCCAATTCGGTGACAATGTAGCGTCGGTCGGGATTTATGACCGCTTTTTTTATTTTTTATTTTTCGGTGTTGGTGGCTTACGCATCTTCCCCTTTGAACAATTTTTATGATACCTGTCTTCCTTTCCTTTGATATATCCCCCCTTCTACTTCTCCAAATAGCCTCTCATTTTCGAAGACCTTATACCTTTGATGATCCGACATTTACCGTCCTACGAATATTAGTCTCCCTTCTAGCACCTCATCGGCATTTACATTGTTGGAGTTTTAGCAGATTGTTTTATCCCCACTTTCTGCCTTTTAGGATTCGCATTCTACATTCCTGCTACCTCTCACGATCGCTCTTCCTGAGCTTCCGCCATCCTCCTGGCAAGTCACCTTACTTCATTGTCAATATTGAGAATTCCTTCTTCCCTTCGCTGTATCTTCTTTTTTTACATTATTTTACTCCTCCCCTCCCTCCCCCTATACCAAACCCTTGAGAATGAGGCGGGGGATTGTGACGCGCTTCTTTCCTTCCTTCTTTCCTTTTGTCTATTTTTTCTGGTGGGCGTTTTTATCTGCTCTTTTAACAAAAAACGGATCGGAGCACAAAAGAATGGGGTATGGACGGGAAAGGTGTGGAGCATGTTTATACGGTGAAAACCTCATTTTTGTCAGTTGTTTTCCCTTTTCCAACTCTATTTTTTGTATTCGCCATTGGCGGTTATTCATTATTTTTATGGGGGTGTGTATCAAGTAGTTTGCTGTACAGTACAGAGTTTTAGCTTTACCCAGTTAGCTATAATAGCTCTGGCGAAGAGGGGGGGATGCTTGTTACGCTCTATCCGGCACGTTGGGTTAGTGAGTTGAGTCAATCGAACCTCCACATTTGGAGTGACAGCTTGGTTGGTAGGACTTTGTCCGGGTCGCTGCTAGTTAATTAGTCTGTGTATTGCAATGTTCTGCGAAGTGTGTACCCCTCTTATCAAATGTACCATGCCAAATCACATCCTCTTTCTTGCACCATGGTGATTCGCACCTGGCAAGCTTCCCTTCCCACGCCCTTATGGTCATGGCATCTCACTCGCGCATGAAATCCATCACCTGGCACTCCAAATAAAGCTCCCTCACCGGCCCACCCTATAGCACAGCCAAGAGCAAAATAAAGTTAGATGTGATATGGCGTGACGCTCGGTCGGTGCGTTGCCTTGTTACAGCGATGCTACGGTAGTCTATTGGGCGTAGGCAATCCACTGGGAGGCATTTGTTAAGTTCCGATGAGGCAAGGTATCATCGCTATTACTCCCCGACACTTACCAGCACCATTCTCCTGATTAGCTGATCCCGCAATTGGGGGGAGAGCTTGGATTGCGAGGAAGAAGTCCCATCGGCGGTGATGGTGGCGATATGTTCGGTAAGCCAGTCCACCAAAGTATCTATCTCTCGGCAATACGGGAAGCATACTTCGTTCGTCACGCCGAGTGCCAATCTAACATGGCGCACTGGACTCCCGTGGGAGAGACTCGACTCGACCCCCAAACTCCACCCCCCCCGCCCCCCGCACCGACCGAGTGAGCTCTTATGAAACCACCACCAAAACAATAAGCACATGCTCCACCTCCCCTCCCTTCCCCCCTTCTTCCCTTCCCCTCCCCAGCCTCCCTCCTTTAGGATTACCCGAGGTTTCCATCAAATTGTTAAACTGTTTAAGATTAATAATTTTTTTTTTTTTTGGAAATTGATCAGATGAACAGGGACCCTCCACCCCCCCCCCCTCCTTATTCTACTCGAGTACGGTACCGGTATTATGGAGGGAAGGCTGCAGTAATCCACATGAAACTCGGCGGGGTGTTTTGGGTTTCTTTGGGGGGGATGGTGTGTGCGCTCTTGCATGGCATGCGTATCATACGTAACTCCGCGCGGGGGGTGGGAATATGGGGTAAATAAGGGGCAGGGAAAATAATTAGGCAATTTGGTGGTTGTACAGAATTTTTTTTTTGTTTGTTATTTGGGTGATTTGGTGGGGTACTGTACAGTACTGAACCGCCTATGATACCTGCCCGTATGGGAATTATTATTTATTTCGTCCGTTTACTCATTTGGCCTGTGGTGGTACGGTACTGTAGGGGGTCTTTACGAGCGAGAACTCGAGTAGTCTACAGCCGTGAGATCCTGAAGACCTTCCTTGGGGGTTTCAGTATTGCCTTGTTTTTTTTTTTTGCTCTGCCGTTTTGAAGGGTTTTAGGGGGAGGGGGAGGGCCCTGGTTGGCATGTGCGGGGTCGGTGGTGAAGGTGAAGGTGAAGGTGAAGATGAAGTGGGGTGTGCACCTTTCACGGGGGGCGGTGGTTTATCGTAATCTACGGCACCATACCGGTACTCGAGTACTGTAGCTTGTCAATTGTGGAGCAGAGCTTGAGCTTTAACCTCATGGGACGATAACCGGTAGCCGCGGTACCACCACCGTAGCGTCTGTGAGATCTAAATTACTCGAGTACTGTACGTGTATGAGTGCGGAGAACCCTTCGCAGCCTGGATTCGCAATCTATCGCCTCCTCCATCATATAATAATCATACTGTAAAGCGATACCGTAAATTAATCCCATCCCTAATTCCCTCCAATTGGCTACCCGGAAACAAATTCGAGATGAGCCCCATTGATTGCCCTTGCCAAGGGAAGATTATCGATCACTCACTTTCGCTTCTTTCTTTCCTTTTCCTTTTTCCTTTTTCTTTTTTTTCCTCTGCTTGCCCTTCCTTCCTTTTCCCGGTGGGGAAGAAAGGGGAAAAAAAAACAGTGGGTCATGGGTTTGCATGTGCGATTGCCAACGGTCGGATCCGGTGCTTACGGATTGATCGCCATGCACCGTAGTCTACTCAGTACGAGTATTGTATTTGTTGCGAATCCAAGTGTGTTCCGGTATCACACCTCTTGGCTGCTATCGAGAGTCCATACATAAAACCTTTCGGGGGTCGACGGGCCGTGGGATGGTTGTCGACATTCAACACCCCATTTTAAACCTCAGACGGGCACGAATGAATTGAACTGAACGTTTCCTGCGAGTTTTGAAGATGAACTGAATCGTGGCGGGTGTGAAGATTTTGGCGACTCTTCTTGGCGACGAAGATCACCAGAAAAAACTGCACTTGGTGCGAACGGACAAACACATGGGAAAGTAGCCTAGCTCCGAAAAAAGGGATAGAAGGATTAATCAGAGTTTTTTATTCGGCGCTTTATGAAGAGCCAAAGGGGGGGGGTGGTTCTTTAGCATACTGTATTTCTCGGGTGTATTTTCTACCCGCGGGGACGTCGCGGCTTAACTAGTCATGGAGGTATGATATCGAGAGGCATTGTTGCCAGACGCATGGTGTTTATACCGGGCTCACCGGTACTTTATGCGTGAAGCTAATTGTCAATATACGGTAGAGCTCCTGGAACCTTGGACCGGCCATCTTGTTCCCACGGTTTGTCTGCCAACTCTGCATGATACGTGGAAAAATCGGTGTCTCGGCATAGATTTGCATGCATGCAAATTCCCCTGCCCGAAAGTGGCCACCCACCGTCTTAAGTCAAGACTCGATGAATAAGAGATTGGAGTCCAGAGTTGGGGGGGAGGTTATTTTGAGTAATCTAGTGGAATTCATTTCTCAAAAAGCCTTGTTGCCCAGTGTTCGCTGTCGATTTTCGCTTTGGTGAGGGTCGATTGAAGGCACCGGCACCCTTGTCCGGACTTGGGCGGTAGAGCGTGGTTAAGATTTCTTCGCTCCAGACTTCACCAAGGTTGGCTCTGAAGGTGGCGGTATCGCTATTTGTCAGACAAGGTCGGTAACGGTACGGTACTGCACGGTATCATAATATTATGAGGCTAACATACAATTTTTTTTTTCATAAAATTTACGGAAAACTGACACAATGCCTGCGAATTCGAAGGTAGGGGTACTTGCTGCCTGTCATGACACAATGCCCGTCAGTTAGAATTAATGGGGTGGGACTATTTGGAGAGTTTAAAGTCTAGGGGAGAGGGATGTCATATTACCCTGCCTATAGTAAATAAAAGAAAAATAAAATGACTTCCAATTTGAAAAAGTAAAACTACTATAAAATAAAAAACATTTCAATGGTGAAAATTGTGCCTGACATGATTGATAGTAAACAGTGATGTTGAATACAGTGTTTGGTTGAAAAGATAAGGTGAAAATTAAAACTCAGAAACACAATTGCTCAATTAGCTTGAGTACACAAAACCCTCTACTAAAGATCTTAGAAGCTAAATTCCCCTTTCCTAACTGTTGATACTTGAGACTTAATTATTATTTCCTCCTATTTCAGCCAAGTTAGTGAATATAAAAAGAGTGGAGAAGGCTGGCTGGGAGTCGGTTAGGATTGAGGTGGCTGGCGACAAGATCATGAATTATGTCCTGTTTGACAATGCATCAAGAAATACTGATTACAAGAATCTGGAAGTTCTATTAATTACCTACTCTGCTGCTGGAGCTGTATCCACTTTCTTTGATTGCCTGACCTGTGATGTTATTAGGAGTATTGGGATTCGACACCTAGAACCTACCCTAAGTGGGGTAACCCCACTTGGAATCGGAATCTCTGGTCTCCAACACCCTCCTCCAGCACCCTTACGCATGCAGCATGTCATCATACATATCCATCTTAGTTGTGTCCTGTGACTATAATGTTAGGGAAATTGAAGGGGTCAGAATAATACTGTCTATATCACTACCATCTATCCGACTAGATCCTGTTTATAGGAAATATTATAGGGGACCATTGGCTAGGTCTGAGAAGTGGAACAGAGCAAATCTGTCAACTACCTAGAGAGCAACTAGGCTTTCAAGACATGACAGCTTGGGCATGAGCTATAAGTAACTAGACGTATTTGCATAAAGACATGATATTGAATGTTAGAGGTTCTTCAGGTGGAACTAACACATTCACATCCACCCTACAATAATTAAGAAGAATCTAGAACTCTTAGAAAATACTACTAAAAAAGCCAATAGACTTTACAGAGTGTTACAACCAGGTTAGGGGATGTGTTATGGTTGTGAGAATTATCTCCAATACTGGACAACAACTAAAGTCATTTTACCTAGAACAACCAAGAATTGCCAACCAAGGGAATATCTGCCAATCCAGTAGAATGGCTTCCTGCAAATTAGTAGGAAGTGATCTGGAGGATATCTGTAACATATTTTACCCAGTAATGGGTCACCTCCCAGTAATGGGTCACTTTTTCTCCTTACTCATATTTAATAGATTTGTGATTCTAGAGAGTAATAATGATCCGATCTTATTCAAATTCAAATACATAATTGTCTATAGAATCTAGAATAAGCTCTCCGGTTTTTGGAAATTTAATTTAATTTTCAGAGCTGTAAATAGTACAAGTGTGATATCATGAATATGGATGAAATTGTAAGACAGTAATGGAGTTACTTATGTAAAAAAACTAGTATTTTCCAAACCTGTAGTATAGGTTATTAGCTATAAACCCTAGAGGTTATAGAAGGTTAGGGTAAGATTTGAGGTGAAGCAATAGTTTTAAAAAGATGTCATTTTTTACACCTTTAGTACACTTAATTCTAACATACAACTATCATCCTTTTGATATCCAATTTCATCAAAAAACAACCCAGCACTAATACCTGTTAAGAAACCTGATATGGAGAATTGCTTTAAGGCAGCTATTTGTGTTAAAACTAAAGATGCTGAGCTCTCAATATGCCACTTAG